CGAAACGGCCAAAACCATAATTTGTTTTGGGAGGATGTCTCTGCTCCGCCTTCCCTCGGCCGGAGTTAATTTCTATCACAACAGCACCCCGTTCAGCAAGCTGTTTGGGGAAAAACGTCCCCAAACTATTTTTCGACTATGTTTGAATATTCCTCCTGTAGAGGGACACGCCCGACTTAAAGGTAGCAAGGCGATGCACGTGCCAACCTCATCCTGGCCAGGACCTCGAGCAGGGGGCGAGGCCCTCGTCGAGCGGAGAGCGCAGGATGACGTGCTCGTCCGGTTGACGAGTTCCCGATCAAGTTTGTGACGTTGGGGTCTCCCACTGCCGTGCTCGGCAGACTTGGCGCCCTAGTCGGGCTCGATGTTTGTGGCGAAGGTGCCACAGTTGGACTCGGCGTCAGCGATGGTGAAGGATCTGGAGTCGGGCTCGGCGTGCCAAGCAATATTGATGCCAACGTGAATCAACCCACCGACGTCATCGGAGCGGGCCCACTGACTGTGATTTCCGCACTGCATTCCCACGCATGTCGTGATCGCAATCCCAGGAGTGACCCGTTATACGGATGTTCACGCTGATTGAACACAAAGAAGCACGAGTCATCGTCTGCGGTCTGCGCGAAGGGGCACTCGAATAAAATGCAATCGTAGTCGCTGACGTGTGCGTCACAAGAGACAAGGCTCGCGCAGTCGATTACGACATCGAGAACAGGACTACCAGGATGTCCCAAGCCATTTCGCACGATCTCAAATACGACAGCGTACTCCATGTCCCCTGCCACATCGATAGTGCAAGAAGTCTGTGGAAGAACATGTTCTCCCTGAGCGCGCGACCCTAGATGGATATGGCCGAGCGGGCAGGTCAAGCAATGCGCTCTCGCTCCTCCATGCCGCGGCTCGTGACGCTGAAGGACTGGGCCGTGGGCATCAAGTCCACAGCAGCCGCTTCTCCGACTGACGACGACATCAGGAGGTGGTGCTCAACGGAACGCGGGCCACCAACTTGCACAGTCAGAGCACACCTGCGTTGCATGCTTGAGCCCGCACCGCGCTCCTCCTCCTCCTCCTCCTCCTCCTCCTCCTCCTCCTCCTGCTCCCCTTGACTGTGCAACAGGCCCTGTGCTTTTCCACGCTGCCGAAGGATGACCCCAGTGACCCAGGCTGTCCACTCCCCACCCCGTCCCCTCCAAGGGCCACGAACTCGGAGATGTCCCTCTCTGCGTCGCCAGGCTCGGCGCTGCCCTGTGCGCACGGCCCTTCTCGCACTCCGTCAGCGGCAAAGCCTCCTCCTCCTCCTCCTCCTCCTCTTCCTGCTCCTCCTCCTCGTCCTTCTCCCGCTCCTTCTCCGGCGGCGCGCGCACAGGGTTGGCGCGAGGGAGGCCTCTTCCAAGAAGGCGGGGGGTGGGCTTTTCTGAGAAAACCAACGGCTCCTTAGAAGCCTCCAGGCTTCTGAGAAAAACCCTCGCCTCGCGCCCCGTCCCCCCCCCCCCCCCTCGAGCGCGCCGCCTGCTTCGCCCCCTCCGCCTCGCACACGCTGCGGCGAGACCCGTCACACGGGAGGCGCGACGGCAGAGACGAGAGGCCGCGGCCTGCCGAGAGCCCGCCCCCCGCGGGCCTGGGTGCACGGGGTGCACGCGCCGAGGCGTGCAGGGTGGGTGGGGGCAGGGCGGCCGCGCGCGGGTGCAGTGCCGTGCGAAGCGAGGTGGGGCGAGAGGGAGGAGGATGAAGCCGACTCCTCGTCCTCCTTGCTGCGCTGGTCTGCTCATAGGTTCGCTCCTGCGGCGCGCATCCGCGTGAAGTTCCACGTCACGGCCCGCACGCAGGCGCACCGCAGACGCGCCGCGCGCTGGTGCACGTGTGCTCGAGCGTGCCAGCCAAAAAGCAGAATGGCTGCATCGCAGGCCGCGCGCCTTTGAAAAAACTAGAATGACTGCATCGCGGGCCGCGCACCGTAGACTCAGGCCTCCTTCGACGATTTTGACTTCTCGATTACCTCCGAGATCTTCTCCCCGATCTTGTCCGTGATCTTGTACTGACCGTTCAGCTCAACGAGCTTGTCGACGGCCTGAGAAGCGAGATCGCTGCCAGAGGCCAGGATGGTGCCCAGGGTGTCCTTGATGCCGACGTCTTGGTCGACTGACGTGTAGGCATCCTTGACGCCGCTCCAAGCATCGTCGATCGTCTTCTTCGTTTCTGGGTTCGACTCCAAGGCGCTCGCAAAGGAATCACTGACCGTACTCGTGACCGCATACTTGTCATTCAGGTAGGCGCCGAAGTTGAGCGCCTCGAGGGCGGTGGAGGACACGCCCTTCAGGGCTTTCGATACATCAGACTCCTCCTGCCTGGACAAATAGGACGACGCCGCGAAGAGGGCCGCCCCGACCCAGACGCCCCCCGTAAGAAGGCCGACGGTGCCGCCCAGGAGGCTAGCCGTGGTGATGGCATTCTCCTCGGTGACCTTCACGAGCGCGACGGACTTCTCACCCTCAGCCCTCAGGGGGACCGCGCCCTGTCTCGCTCTCAGCTGCACCGGAGATCCAACGAAATTGCTGCCGGAGCTGAGGGCCACCAGTGCAGCCACGACAAACCCCAGCCCGAAGACAACGGCGCCGAGTGCATGCGTGCGCCGGCCAGCCATCGCTCGAATAGTGGAGGCCCTGCGAAGCGGCGGGACGGACAAAGGGCTTCACACGCCCTCCGCCCGGAGCTCGACGGAGACCTGGAGCCACAATGGCTGCGTGAATACCTTGTGCACAGAGGCAAGCCGACGTGAACACGGATGAAATAGCATCCAAGCGGTCAGACATGGGTCCGTGCACACCTGTGCTGAAATGCACTGGCGCACCACTGTATCATCAGAATTGCGTGCGCTGCACGCCTTGCTTCGTTTCATGTGACGCGTGGGCGGCTCTCGCAATCCGCTGCACGACTCGTTTGCCATTGTTCCGCTCTCCCAGGGGAGCACGACCGTGGTTCGACCGCGATCGTCACGCGTGGAGGAAGAATGGGAAGAAGCACTGGCGGCCGCTCATGGGCACCAGGCCCCTCGTGTGGCTGCAGCCGACACGGCGTTGGCAGACCACTGCGGAAGAAAACAACAAGATGCAATACGAAAAGCTGGCAAACATGATCGGACCAGCGCTGGGGAAGACGGGGTGTGATAATGGCGAGCTTCGACGCACACGAGGGAATTTCAGGGGTAGTGTGGTGAGGTTAGGGTTAAGTTGTTAGGGCTAGGTTTTTAGAATTAGGGTGCTCGGGTTGGAGGCTTGGGTTAGGGATAGGACATTAATATCAGGTGTTAGGGTTAGGGGTAGTACATTCGGGTAAGAGCTTTCGCCCGTTAGGACTTGGGTGCTTAGAGTTAAGGTCAGGGCGTTGGGATCGCGGTACTGGGGTTTGAATGACAGAGTTGGGTTAGGGTGTTCGGATTGTTGTGTTCAGAGAAAGTAAGGGTGTTGGGGTTAGGGTGCTCAGGGTTATTGTTAGAAAGGCTACCTTGCAAGGTTTCTGATAAGGCGTTAGGGGCACGGTGGCTAGGGCTAAGGTGTTAGGATTAGGGTGTTAGTGTCGGGGTGCTCAGGGTTAGGGCTTGTGTGTTAGGGTTGCAGTGTTAGTGTGAGGGGTAAGGTGGTAGGGGGTAGGGGTTGGGAAGTTAGGGTTATGGTGGGTGTCAGGGCTAGGACATTAAGATGATAGGGTCAGGGTAGTCTGCTTAGGGTTGGAGTGTGTTCGGGTGCCAGTGCACTAATTTGCCAGGGTGCTCAGGGTCAGGGGGTTTGGACTAGAGGGCTAGGGCACGAGTATTAGGGTTGTGGTTTGGGTGTGAGGGTCAAGGTGTGAGGGGTAGGGTTGTAGGAGTAGGGTGGTAAGGGTTAGAGTTAGAGTGTGAGACCTAAAGTGTGAGGGGCAGGAAGTGTGAGAGTCAGGATGTTGCGATTAGGGTTGTTATACGTTATACATTGTATTAGGGTGTTATGGCTAGGGTGTTCGCGTGTTTGGTGTACAGTGCTAGTGTTGGGATGTTAGGGTGTTAGGGTTAAGGGACTGGGAACCCGGAAATCATGTTCCCGGAGAGGCTTCCGGGAACATGATTTCGAACGAGGCCCTCTGGGGCCTCCCTGAAGCCATCTTGGGGGCCTCCTGGGCCAGCTTTAGGGCCTCTTGGGCCGTCTTGGAGGGTTCCGTGAGTCCCACAGGACGACCCTTTTGGGCCGTCTTGGACTCTCTCTTTTTTTTGTTTCGGATGGGACGGCCAGTCGCCGTTCGACACGCCACACACGTACAGCGTACCAACCTGATTTCACTGGCGGGGTCTCGCGCCAGAGTCGCAACCACCTCGCGCGAACTTATCTGATCGATTGCCCAAGGATGTTCGCGCATGTTGGAGCGAACCGCTCCTGAAAATTGACTGGGCTGGCCGCAGAGGAATCTCATCTGCAAGCCAGATGATTAGCGGAATATTGGAGATGTTTGGAAGGCATGGCATCTGTGGTTGAAGACTAAGTGTTCGGCATCGGAGGACATCATACAATCAACGAGGCGTTCCTTTTTGAAACGCCCAAGGGTCTCTTGGGGGCTGGTTGAGCCGTCCAAAAGACATCCTCATCCTGGAACGCATTTGTTCTGTCCTCCGACACGCATGAAGCTCTACTTACACACTCGGTGGAGGTAGTGCGTATGCGCATGACGACATGCAGTCTCTGTGGTGGCAGCAGTGGTTGTGTTTATCATGTAGGCGGCACTTGTTCGGGGCCTCCGCAATAGTAAGCGCGTATTCAGATGTTATCATTGTCGGTAGGGCCCTTTCCAATCCATAAGCACCTAGGCAAGCCGTCTGATTACGACAGTTTGAATCGTAGCCAAATTCCCAAATCGCCAGCCACCGAGATATACCGGAGAATAGACGTGGATTTTGCAACAGCGGTGCGGAGCGGGCCCAAAAAGAAGTTCCCGCAACCATCGCCCACTTGTCACGGGGAGGAAGGGCAACGTGATTGTCATACAGAAAATCCCAAGCGCGTCTCATAAACGCCCCCCCCCCGATTCTCTGGAAATGAATAGTTGGCAAGCTGGTCAAACGAGCCTTGGACTTTAACAGGATCGACCATATCGTCATACCGCCATGTCAGGGTCCATGGCCCCAATATGCCCAAGTCTCGCTGATGGTCAAGCCTATCCAATATGTGCTTCACCTGATCCTTGCTTCCGCAAAGCGACGTCAACATCTGACACCGCCAAGCTTCTTGTCTTTGGCTGTGCACTTTGAGCAGAAACTCGTATTTCGATGGGTCGTGTACCTGCTGGGCCTGTTGAAGGAACAGGCCCACGTCGGCGCCCTTGTTCTCGAGGAAGGAATTCATGATCAATCGCGCCTTGTACTCGCCCCCCCTGTTCCACCTGTGCAGCAACAGGCGGGCGTCTTCCGCGATGCTGGAATTGTTGCTGCCTGAAGCCATTCCGACGTACACGTCCACATTCCGTGTCCGCCGAGCCCCTTGCTCAGTGATGCAGGCGGCCCCTTCTAGAACATTGGTGACGCAATCCCGAAGGTGCGGCCACACAGACGGGTTCGCCAACTGCACGAAGACCGCAACAGCTGACGTCGGAGGCCCCCCAACACACTAGCAGGCAGCGTCGAGGAAGATGCGCGCCCACTCGACCAAGTAGCATACGTCGTATGCAACGAGACTATCTGAGAGTACGCAAGTATCGATGTGCAGGCAACAGCGCAATAATGAAGAGCCCTACGCGTGGGCGAGTGCAGGTGCGGGCACCCTGGCAAGACCATGAAGCGCGCGCGGCAACCCACCAATTGAGGCAACTTGGGGCCGCTCGGAGCCGACCAGAGCCGCATGCCAACTTGAGCCAAAATGGCTACGGCGGCCGTCTTGGGCTCTCTTGGGTCTCTCTTGGGCTGTCTTGGGGCTCCTGGGGCACCGAGAAGACGAAGCAAGCGAGTATGCTGAAAACGTACGTTTTACGTAAGGAATGGGCCAATTGTTGCATCTTGAAGGCCCTCTTGGAGCCCTCTTCGGCCATCTTCAAGCCATCTTGGGCCCTCTTGGGCCTCGCTGAGGCTGTCTTGTGGGCCTCTTGGGCGTCGTGGGAACCCGGAAATCATGTTCCTGGAGAGGCTTCCGGGAGCATGATTTCGAACGAGGCCCTCTTGGGCCTCCCTGAGGCCGTCCTGGGGGCCTCCTGGGGTGGCTTTGAGGCCTCTTGGGCCGTCTTGGGGGGTTCCGTGAGCCCCACAGGATCTCTTGGGCCGTCTTGGGGCTCTTCGGGGGCGTCTGGGGCCTGTGAAGAAGCCCTCTAGGGGCCCTACACGGCCATCTTCAAGCCATCTCGGGCCCTCTTGGGGAGCTTTTGGGCGGCTTGGGGCCCTCTTGGGCCTCGCTGAGGCTGTTTTGTGGGGGCCTCTTGGGCCGTCTTGGGCGGTTCGTGGACCCCACAAGACGCACGGGGCGCTCATGCCAACCGGTGGCACCACACCACCCCCGCCCCCGGGCCTACTCCGATATATATATATATATATATATATATATATATATATATATATATATATACACACATATGTGTCTATATATATACACATAAATATATGTATGTATATATATATATATGTATATATGTATGTGTGTTTATCAGCTTACTGCTGGGGGTCAGCGTAAGCGAACACCTGGAGGCGTCACGGCCGTTCCCCTGTCGAGCGACCGAACCTCATCTCCCTCCGTCTCCCGGCGACATCGGCATGGACGTACTGGATACCCCCAGGTTCGAAAACAGCGTCCAGAAATCGCAGGAAAGAACACGAGTCGGGCTTTCGGGGGCCCTTTTCGGGGAGCCTCTTGGAAGCTTGTCGGGCCTCGGGGGGGGCGTCGTTGGCGCCTCTATGGGGTCTCCCCGGGTCCACCTCTCGGGCGTTCTGGACGGCCACAAGACCTCGCTGGGCACGCTCCGGGCCTTTTCCAGAGGGCCGCCCAGGCCGTCTGGGGAGCGCTCTTAGGCTCGTCTTGGGCCGTCTTGGGGGGTTCGTGGGCCGTCTTAGGCCTCCCTGGAGCGCTTCAGGCGCCGTCGTAGACGCAGCGAAGACCTCAAGCGCGTGGTGGTTGAAAGTGTGTTTCCCAAATGGAAGTGCCTAATTTTGGCCTCCCGACGTCTTCTGGGGGAGCGTCTGGGGAAGTTCCAGAGGCATCGAGGGAGCCTCCGGGCCCTACACGCCCACAGAGCCCCGACTCGCCCCAGAGTCGCCGGAAAATCATCCCAAACGCTCGTAATCGCCTCCAGATGGCCCCCCACGCTCCCAAGGCGTTCCACGCAGGCTCCCCGACGGCCCAGATGGCCCCCCAGAGGCTCCAAGAGGTTTCCACGACGTCGCCCAAAAGGGGCGATGCTGTGATGCTGTCTGCCGCGAGCTCCTCTCTTCTCGTTTACAGCAGAACGTGCTAGGCCACGAGTCTAGCTTTCGGGCCCCGCCAGGGGGACGCTACTCGAGTGCCCCCCTCCGCCTTTGACCGATGGCTTCCAAGAGGGCTCCCCCATGCTCCCACGAGGGGCCCAAGAACGCCCCTAAGAGAGCCTCAAGAGGCCCCCAAAGCTGCCCAAATGAATACAAAAGGGCTCCAACATGGCTCCAAGAGGCATCCAAGAAGCACTCACAACAAAAGACCCACAGGCACCGACAGGCAACCATTCAACGAGCACACAAGCACGAGGAGCCGCGAAACGTTCGCAACGACGCGGACGCCACTCAACAAAAAGCACAAGAAGCCTGTGGCTACTTTGGTTGAGTAGTTACCTGTCGTCGCTCCCTGATCAGGGCAACTTGCACGGTGTCTGTTGTTGGGTGGACTGGTGGGGAGACTCGAAGCTTCAATAATTATAGAAGACCCTTACACTGACAAGCTGACGAGGGAATGCAACAAACAAGCGAAATATGTTGTGAACCGCGGCGACAGGACGCTCGTCGCGGCCGAAGCTACAGCGGGCTACGCGGCAGCGAACTGCGCCTGCACAGGTGGCACAAGAAGAGAAGCGGCCGCGACGGGAGGAAGAGAGGGGAGGCCGCTCAACCGAAAGAACACACAGACACAAACCAAACAAGCATACAACACAAAACGCTACTGTCAATCGTGGGCTTGGCGTCCCGACTGGCTCTGTAGGAAGGTTGGGACGCGCGACATGGTCACGACAACTAATCTTGTCCCAAGCCGACAGCGGCCACTATTGCGCAGGTGGCCTCGTGTGTCAAATGGGCAACTTCCGTGGCGGCGCGGGCAGCAAAAGTTCAGAATGTCGCTCGTACCGAGAGGAGGGTGAGAGGGAGGTGCCCCGCAGCTAAGATCGGCCCTCCCGGCACAGACCCCGGGCTGGCCTCCTGCTGAAGCCAGCACGGGCCGCTTCGCCTGCTGCTCCTGCTCCTGCTCCGGCTCCTGCTCCTCTTCCTCCTCCTTCCTTTTGACGTCGCATGGGCTCTGATCGGCTGAGGATCGCAGCGTCTGTCCTCCTCCTCCTCCTCCTCCTCCTCCTCCTCCCTCCCCCCGAGCGGTGAGGGGCAGCGTGCGGCCCCTGGTGCTCCGTACAAGTCCCTTTGTCTACCCTTCAGGTGCAGCCGAAGACCGAGCTCTCGGGTGCCAGGCTTGACGAGCCTCTGCCCAGGGGGCAGCGCCACACAGCTAGGCTCAAACCATCACCACCACCGCTATCATCATCGTCACCCCCCTCCTCCACCTCCTCCTTCTCCTCTCATCCTCGTCATCGTCATCATCAGCATCAGCAGCAGGATCATCAGCAGGATCAGCAGCATCAGCACCAGCATCAGCACCACCATCATCATCCTCATCACCATCCTCCTCATCATCAGCATCATCATTTTAAGCATCATCACCACCACCATCATCATCATCATCATCATCATCATCATCATCATCATCATCATCATCATCATCATCATCATCATCATCATCGTCATCGTCATCATCATCATCATCATCATCATCATCATCATACTCATCATCATCATCATCATCATCATCATCATCATCATCATCATCATCATACTCATCATAATCATAATCATAATCACCATCGAATCATCATCATCATCATCATCAGCATCATCAGCATCATCATCAGCATCACCATCATCACCATCATATTCATCACCACCACAACCATGATCATCATAATCACCTTCAAAATCATCGTCACCTTCGATTTCATCATTATCATCGCCATCATCATCAGCAGCAGCAACATCAACATCATCATTATCATCATCAACATCATCATCATCATCATCTCATCATCATTATCATCCTCCTCGTCATCCTTATCATCATCACCCCACCACCATCATAATCACCATCACCATCACCATCACCAGCACCGTCACCATCATCATCATCATCATCATCATCATCATCACCATCATCATCATCATCGAATCATCAAGATTATCATCACCATCATCCTTAATAGCATCATCAACACCATCATCAGAAATATTATCACTTGCATCATCCATCTCATACTCCTGCTTCTCCTCCTCCTCCTCCTCCTCCGAATCATCATCATGCTCCTCGTCCTCCTCTTCCGAAAAGCCACCCACCACGCCATGATCACCTGTCGATAACACAGAGGCCCACAGGAAGAGATGCGGAGCGAGGAGGAGGAGGCCGGTTCCTCCTTGCCGCGCAGGTCCATGAGTGTGCTAGCTCCCGCAGAGTGCAGCATCCACACGCACACGTCTGCTCCACGTGCACGCGCGCAGACGCGTCACACAGAGATGCATATTTGCACAAGAGTGCGGGTTCTGTGCGAGTCCTGCCAACTCGAGTACGCTGGCCAAAAAGTTAGAGTAGCTGCATCGCGGGCCGCGGGCCGTTGAAAAAACTAGAATGACTGCATCGCAGGCCGCGCACCGTTGACTCAGACCTCCTTCGACGATTTTGACTTCTCGATTACCTCCGAGATCTTCTCCCCGATCTTGTCCGTGATCTTGTACTGACCGTTCAGCTCAACGAGCTTGTCGACGGCCTGAGAAGCGAGTTCGCTGCCAGAGGCCAGGATGGTACCCAGGGTGTCCTTGATGCCGACGTCTTGGTCGACTGACGTGTAGGCATCCTTGACGCCGCTCCAAGCATCGTCGATCGTCTTCTTCGTTTCAGGGTTCGACTCCAGGGCGCTCGCGAAGGAATCACTGACCGTACTCGTGACCGCATACTTGTCATTCAGGTAAGCGCCGAAGTTGAGCGCCTCGAGGGCGGTGGAGGACACGCCCTTCAGGGCTTTCGACACATCGGACTCCTCCTGCCTGGACAAGTAAGACGACGCCGCGAAGAGGGCGGCCCCGACCCAGACGCCCCCCGTAAGAAGGCCGACGGTGCCGCCCAGGAGGCTGGCCGTGGTGATGGCATTCTCCTCGGTGACCTTGACGAGCGCAACGGACTTCTCACCTTCAGCCCTCAAGGGGACCGCGCCCTGTCTCGCTCTCAACTGCACCGGAGATCCAACGAAAGCGCTGCCGGAGCTGAGGGCCACCAGCGCAGCCACTACGAACCCCAGCCCGAGGACAACGGCGCCGAGCGCATGCGTGCGCCGGCCAGCCATCGCTCGAAGAGAGGAGGCCCTGCGAAGCGGCGGGACGGACAAAGGGCTTCACACGCCCTCCGCCAGGAGCTCGACGGAGACCTGGAGCCACAATGGCTGCGGATATGTTTTGTGCACAGAAGGAAGCCACTGTGAACTCGAAGCACGCGCGCGCTTCGCCTGCGCTTCGCCTCGCGCGCGCTTCGGATTTAACCTGGAAGCTCGTATCGTTTGCTGTCACTGTTAGCTGCATTAGCATTTATAGCGATCTTTCGCTGAAGTCCCGGGAACTTGTCTTGATGTTTAAACCGTGAGCGGGGGCTGCCCGAAGGAGTCTCGGGAGGATGCCCGAAGAGTCGGGCGTCGCCTACCAGTCGAACTCACAGGAGAAGGCGGAGCAGGCAGAACATCGATAAGGAGGAACAGGAAGGGTTTGAAGGGGATTGGGAGGCCCAACCACACGCTTCGCCTAAGGCGAAGCCCATATCCAACTCTGTTGTACCGTAGTAGCGATAGTCCCAGAAGTAGGAGATCGTCGCGGGAGCGACGAGCAATGTCAAGCGAAGATGTTTCCGGTCTCGATGGCAAAGAGTGCGCCTCGCGATGAGGCGCAGTCATATATTGGCGGCCGGCCGCTTGAGCACAAACGGCCGCGGACAAACGTTCGCCATCTCTCGCCTTTGTCCCAATCTCCTGTAGAATCGGGGGAGGAGGAGACGAAGCGTGAGTCCGCCGCCAGCTGTACAGCAAAACGCTATATTGCACAAGGCAGGCAGCAGCTGGCGGGCTCAACAAGGCAGGTTGACCCGCGCGCAAGTTCCCTTGCAAGCCAGTTGCCTCGCAGGCAAGTTACCTTGCAGATGACTGCCCCTCAGGCGGCTCAGACGATCTTGTGTGGACAGCCCTGTATGGAGTGTGTCGTTTTGAGTCATGCTTGAAGGATCGCGTTCCTCCCATGACCTGTAGGAGCATGTATATGTCGATGCCCCCTTTGGTGTGGCCGTCCGCGGTCATGTCGCGAATGTCACACACTGTACACAATGCGCGACACCTCGCTCCATCATCTGTCGTATCCAACTGATGTGTCCCCAAAGTGTACACTCCTTTTCGTGACAAGGACTTGAAGACAGACTCTGCATCGGTGGTCCAAGTGACTTTAATGCGCAGGCCGCCCATTTCAAGTAGATTATTCAACTGAGTGGGTGTCAGCGGCCCTGCGTGGAGTTCGGGCAGAGTGACGATCGTGGGATAGCAGTCCGCCAAGTTGTGGGCTGCTGCAAATGTTTCCGGAGTAGCTCGAGCGGACCTGCAAGCGATGAGACTTGCAGTGCGCGTCGACAAGATGGACGACGGGCTTACCATAAAGCGTGTCCAAACCGTAGCAGGTTTGCCCCGCGAATACCATAGCCTTTGACCTCGTCCTCGGCATCTCCGCTTAGACACCGGTAGCCGGAGTCGCTGCGCAGGTCGACCTCACCCGTTGAAGTCATCGCTTGATAGTCGATCTGATCAGGGCAGGCCTGCAACTTTCTGGTAATCGCGTTCAGTCGTCGCACTTGCATGTCGGTCGGTTTTTGGACGCGCTGTGGAGATAAAACATCTACCATTAACCGCAACTGTGTAATCAGGGCGTATGCCACTTCGCCTCTGAGGCTGACAAACATGTCAGGGACCATTTCCGATGCCTTGGCTCAGCGTCTGCGCCAGTGAGTTCGCGGCGTTGGATCGGGCGGAGTTGTTTTCTACATTCGTCTTGATCAAGTGTAACATTACCGTCGCCGTTCTTTGTGCATCTCACAGCACAATTGGTACATGTGTGTTTGTTGGGTTCGCGTGTGCCAGAAGTTTCTTCAACGCGCTGGACGCACTTGTCGGAAGTGTCCTCAGTGCCGGCCGCGATGATGTCATCGACGTGCTTGGCTGTAAGAAGGTTGGAGCTTGTCTGGAACTCCTCGTCGTAAGACGCGGGATTGAAACTGAACCCTCTCGTGGTCTTTCTGAGCTCCAGTGGGAAGGCTCTCGGCGCGCACTTGGTGCCGGCGCCTGGTTTCAGGCGCTGCAGGCAGCGCTTCGACTCATCGTAGTGCTTGAATCCTGGGAAAGATCTGCGCGCAGATGCTGACCCAGGTGCCAATGCAAAGGGCGCCGCGCGTTACTTCTCACGGTTGCTTCAGCAAGTTCCTGCTGAGTGAGTCCCGTCAGGAAAGCCATGTCGATGGCAAGGGAAGCAATGATCCACTGCTTCTTGCACGCTGCCGCGCTAGCGAGCAATGTCTGGCTCGACCGCCGCGCCGTTCCTGAGAAAGTCTCCGCGCCGAAGGCGTCGAGGTCCATGGGCCCCCGACGTGCCGAGCGTAGTCTGATGGCGCGCTCCATCTCGCCCTTCTCGTTCTTGACGAACTGCCATGTATATACGACCCTCGAAGTCCTGATGTTTGACGCCTTTGACAGATCTTGTTTCTTGAGGCAGTTGTTGTCAAACCATGTGTTGAGTTCAACAAAGTGCTTTAGATACCGTGGCTGGATTCGCATGGATGTCGGCCTTCGCGGGGAGGTCGTCCTCCTTGACGACTACAGCTCGTTTATCTGCAGCGGTCACATATACTCGCATAGTGGTCGCACGGCCGAAGTCTAGCATTATGTGTTGTTCGGATAGGACAACCTGTGACATGTCTGCAGCGAAGCAGCATTCTACATATTGTCCGTGCTCGTCAGAGTCCAATCCATAACTGCCGTCTGCGTCCGTGGAACACAGTGGGACATGATGTCTCCGTTGTCTCTATATCCTGCGGGCTACACCACGTAAGCAGGTGCCCCCGCATTCTCCAGTTACTGTGATCAGCACACTGTTGGCGGTGATCATCTGTGCGGGTACAATGTAGAAATCGTCTATTGGAATTGACTCCAGTAGTTCTCTTTCATCCTGAAGTTCCGTGTGCCACACACCCATGATGTGTGCCTCGAGGTCCGCTTCTGGTAGGAAGTCGTCCGTCTTCCTGGTGGTTTGACTTCTGGGGCTTCTCTGGCGTCGTTGTCTTGCGTTGGTACGTCAGCCAATTCTTCGAACTTCGTCATGTCTTGGTCGAGGCCAGCTTGAGGTTTGGTGGACTTCTGGTACTGGATGACCCTAGAATGTGCTGGTCCAGTTATATCCTATGTTTAGGGCAGTGCCTTCGGCTTCGTAATAATGGAAGCCTGGATTCACGTCGTTGTCATAGTGCGCCAATGAACAACTGTCAGCATAAGCCACCGGAGGTAGCTTGTGAATACTCTTATCTAACCTGACAGAAACTAAATTCCCGACTCGAAAGAAGTTCACGATGAGCTATTGAAAGGGCTAAATGTACTTTAGGAGATAGTCGGCTCGCACTCGTCATCTCGAGCATTCCCTTCTTGGTCGGGAGGTTGCCAAATCTCATAGCAGGTCGCCCCGCAGGTAGACTGGCTACGAATGTCAACACAGTCCGTAGTGCTGCGTTGTCCGATCCAGTTTCTCGAGCGATCAAAACTTCGACATATAGTGAATGTCGTGCGTCGCCACATTGGACTTGTACATCGCGGCTCCCCACTCCCATGATCACTTGACCCCTCTCGGGATCATAGCGTGCGACCGGGGAAAATCCATTCCAGCCACCCTAGTAGTCCTTTGTAGTCATGGGGCGATGATCGTCAACCAGACCTCCTTCGTCATAGTAATGCTGACCAGTGATAGTAGTCTTGGTCCGTAGTGCACTATTTGTTTTTGCCACTGCAGTGGCTTGAGTAATAGCCGCAATGCTTACCCGGCGGATAGTCTGTTCTCGAGGGTGGTCGGATGTTCCTGTCTGCTGTTCGTGGTCCAGAACAGACAAGTCGGGTAGCGTCGCCGGCTGCCGACCGAACAGCGCGTTGCATGGAGACACATCATTGCAAAGGGCACATGCGCTGGCGGCAAACAAGGCTCCATGCAGAAAACGGGTGAACACAAGAGGTATGTCTTACCTGTTGAGTTCAGCCTCCATGACGTGAAGTATGTGTCGTAGTATGCCATTTTGGGCTTCAATGGCCGTAGCGCGTTGTCCACGCACGCGCATCCTCAGCTCAGCGCCATTTGCCTTAAGGGCTGCCTTTGCGGTATCGTCGTTGAGTGCACCTTCCCCGTCGAAGAAAAGTACTTTGGCAGGTCCGAACTGCATCCAGCACTGATGGTGCGCATCTAAGATGCTGGTCATGGTGTTACCTGGTATCTCGATTCCAGCACCATATCGAATGCAACAATCGAATATATGGAATATCTGGTGTTCTTGTTTATATACCATCAGATCGAATTCGACTTCATCGTTAAATTTGCCAGGAAGTGCAGTAGACGGCACGACGGCATGCCTGGTTTGTCCCAAGCCCTGCACTCCCGACATGTATCACAAACGCCTTTTATCAAGCTTAGCCTGACGCTGTCTAGACCAGCCTTGGTTAAGATGAGTCTCGTCTGAGGCTCTTTAGCGTGGAACCACTGCAAATGGAGTTTTCGCAACTCTCGTGTTACCACGCTAGGGTCAAATGCTGCGTAAGTTCCGTAGACTATTTTGCACGTCGAACCTTAACCAGTCTGGCAGCCTTGGACGACCAGCAGGGTTGCCCGCAGGTGGTGGTGGAGGTGGATCCCCTCCTTGCTGTCGCCCTCGTCTAGCCACTATTTGCGGTGGCCGTCTGTGATCGCCCGAGCTGCCTGCTCCACTGGAGGCGCGTTGCCCCGCAGCGGCATGTCTACGCACTGCGATGTCGCGGCTGCTGGCACCCGCTGTTGGCCCAGCTCTGGAACCAGGCCTCGGAGCTCGTAGCCGCGCAGTTTGTCTGGCGTCTGGTGCCTCGGATGTAGCTGCCGCCGCACGTGGTGGTGCGTCGGAAGCAGCTGCCGCCGCAGGTGGTGGAGCTGCCCGTTCGGCAAGAGCCGGAGGCTCCGGTCCGCGGTTATGACGAAGCTTCTACGGTTTGGTAAATTTACATTCACCAGGCGTACGTAGGCGACCATATTTAGCCTGACCGT